CGGGAAGTATTTATCACTTGTAATTACTCAAAATTAGTGATACGAGGACAGAGAAGGTATTATGTTTAACGCTAGGATTGGGAGGCACTGTTTTGCATGTCATATACCATTATTAGTTGTTATCCTGCTTGTAACGCAGAACTCATTAGCATGTAAGTTACGCTTATATATGCTTAAAAACAACCCCGCTTCTTTATACTCATATTTATACTCAAAAAACACTCGAAATATATTTGGATTTCACTAAACAGAGGTTTTTTGGCAGTTTTTGTTATTGAAAGATTATAAAATATAAGCCCCACTAGAAATGAGAGAGAGATCAGCTGTTAGTCGAATATCTCACAAATAGCTCTGGATAGTAAGGATAAGTCACCATAATTTTAAGCACAATACATGTTTTTTCGCTTTAAACTCTAAATTTTGAGAATATCATTTGGCTTCACGAATATTGTATTTTTTTTACAGTTGATACTAATATAACAGGTCCGAGTGCAGTTTTAATCGGAACCAACTACAATGTTACATGTACGTTAAGTAACAACAGGGGAACGTTTTTCAGAAATAATATGCATGTCACGGATGCATTTATTAATGACACTAGTGAGCGATGCTATGTGACGATCAGTGCCAAGTACGAGTGTTATTGTAAAAAGATATCAACGCATTATAATGAATTCCAATTAGTAGTACCAACAGGTTCTGGAGATATAGGCGAAACCGGGTGGTATTGTTCTTATTCCGATGGAAAATCTAACACCATTTTTGTTGATGTTTTTCAACCAACAGAATACAAAATGCCTGGTAATTTTCATTTTTTTATTCTTTGAATCGTGTCTTGTTAAGCATTGTCTAGAAAAAAATCAGACTGTGTAGACAATATACATGTCCGTAGGCTTGGGCAGTTTTAGGATGTTCGATTCCAATCTTCGCAAAAAATGCACAAAGAATTTAGAATATGTGTAGAAACCCGTTACTTGGCTCGGGTTTTGCTAATAATTAAGCAAATGATATTTTTCGGAATATTTGTACCGGCTTATACAGGTGAATGGAGTAAAAAGTAGTTCACAACCATTTTGAATCTCTACCTCGACTCTCCATGATTAATGCTCTTTAAAGTCTGCAAAGAGCCACCGGGACGCTCATGAGATTTCCTCTTTCTTTTCATTTGATAACTCAGTAACGATATCTCAAAAAGTTATACTACGATAAATAGATTCTCATGCTATTTCCGCTTTCTTTTCAGGGAATCAGAAATGGTCAACTAAAGAAAATATTATTATAGCTTCAATCCCCTGCTCACTTATCTTGCTAGTTGCACTCACAGTCTTGGTTGTTTGTAAAATCAAGATTTTTAAATCGAAGAAAATGAAAAATTGTAAGTATATGTATAACTATAAACGATGGCAATCTATTTTAAAAATTAGACCAATCTTTCGTTTTTTTTTTATTAGCCTTTATATTTAATATAGCCAGTTCATTTAGGGTCTAACGACTTTCCTCAAATTAACCTTTTGGCCTACCTTGATAACGTCTGCTTTAACCAATGAAATCTCTATCCTCTCTAGCGCTGGCATTTTGTGACGTGATGTTTATCAGGATAGGTCAAAAGGTTAATTTGACGAATGTTAAAGAAGGCTGTCGTTAGACTCCACCACTTAAATCAAAATTTATGCTCAAAACCAATGATTAGTGGATTTTTTTTATTTTTCAGATCTCCAAGAAATGACTATTGATGATAATAGTTTATATCATGATATCCAAGTAGATACCAGCAGCAGAAGTTTAAATACAGAATCTTCAACAGAACCCATATATTCCCAACCACAAAAGGGCCCTAAATATATGAAAGCCCGCCAGATCAACGCAGACATAACAGAATTAGAAGCTTGAAATTTCTAGTGGTGTTTCTAGGTGTGGGGGCTTCGTAAGTGCAACAGAATATTTTAAAGGAATACACCTGCTATTACGTTACTATGTAAAATGCAAGTTTCCCGCCAAAAGATAGAGCATAAACGCAAATTTACCCTGCTTCCTAACGTCTGCTTGTATAACAGAATTTCAAAGTGTGATTTGTCTCGCTTTTAGTTGCAGGTAGTTTCATAATATACAAGTTGCTACCTCTACCATAATGTGTTCATTTTACAACAATAATAATATAAGGATAACTTGCCAATTGAAATAAAATATCAAATTTAACTAATTGTACATCTCATTATAAATAAAATTGTAATTTTTCTATTTTTTGTGTTTTTATTTTATCAATCAGTAAAATGAAATGGCCTACTGAAAAACAAAAGCTGGTATAAAAAAAAACGGTACGAAAGTTTGGTTTAATTCTAATTAGTCTAGGTACAGTTTAAAGTGATTTGACGAACGTTGAAGAGGGCTGTCGTTAGACCCTAACTGAAATTGCTATATTTAAAACAAAAGCTAATATAAAAAAAAAAACAGTACGATAGTTTGGTAAAGCTTACGATTTGATGGCGAATATTTCCCTTTAACTCGAAGATTTGAAGATTTGGGTCGAATTGGCAATAACGTGTGGTCTTGGTATTCGAGTCTAAGCCAAGTTTCCCAGAGTTATCCAAAATGGCCGAAATTTGTTGAGATTTTCACTGCTGGTTTAATAGCATTGCACATACGCCCAAATCTTCTTTGTAGAAGGGTTGGTATTGATTTCAAATCACCAAATACTTAATGGATAGTTCTCTGGCATAATTTATCATTGGTTGTCAAACTTATGTAATCGTTAACTATTGTCTACGACCACGACTACATTGTGTAACAATGGTTACACATAATTTAAAAGCGTATTTTACAAATGATATTCCCGTATAAATTGAAATATCAAATACAAGATACTACTGAGTCATAATACTCTTAGATTGCCTTTTATAATTCGACATTGTCAATTATAACTGCATGGAGGTTTATTTCGATTGTCTTTATGAATTCTTCACTTTAACCCATATTTCATGAGCAACCAACTCGGCAACGGCGGCAGAATGCGTCACCTATTTTCGTGTACAATGTTTGATCTGTAAATAAGTCTAGAAAAACACGTTGTATGGATACTGGGTGGTATAATTAACTTCTCTTAGTATTTACCTTTAATATCAATTCATTATAAATAGTGACAATTCCTTCACAGAACCACGATTTTAAAATATAATAGTGACTGACAAAATAAGATACGCAGCGTGATTTATTGCTAAAAGTCACTGAAACAACATAAGAATATGGTCCACTTTGTGTTCCATAGAAATTTTCTGCTGACACGGAAACCGCTAGTTGATCACGTGACTCATTCGTTGAACTACATTCTAGCAGACGACACTTGGAATTCCGATTACCGCTTGGGATTATAAGGAAATTCGGGCTATAAAAAATGGTCATTTTGTATTTGTCAAAGTATACATTATTACATTTTACCTTGCTTGAAACTACTGGATTCATTCTACTAGCTGATATTGTATTGAAAACCCATGTCTATTAAAGCAAACTAATGCGGAGGTCGCGCAAGGTCGCCTTGCTCATGTAAATTATTAATCCTTTCCGAAAATCCACGAATAATAGGTTTCCACGAAATTAGGTTACTCGACTGTACTTGTTCACTTTTTTAAAATTTTTATTTGATTCTCTTTCAGAAACAGAATTGTATAGCCTACCAGTCATAGGAAATGAAAAGTATGATACATGTCATTAATCAAAACTGAAAGGAAACAATTTATTAGTTGAAAAGTGTTAATCATGCCTTCAAAGTTCAGGAAGTATCAGTCACTTAGACTTGTGGAAGTGATTTAGTGAATGTTATAGGCCCTCCATATCCAGTAGAAGAAAAAGAATGGACAGTTTCAATATGCCTCCTCTGGACAATGACAAAGTTGATTTGTTGATTAAATGCAAGAGTGAGGTGCCTGAAAATGAAAGAGTGGATTTCAAAGAATCTTCTGATGAGTCAAAGACTGGCATCAATGATTCCAAAAAACAGAAATATATTCCTGGTGGGCCTATAATATTTTCAAAAGAAAGACATCCAAAATTCAGAGATCTTGAAGCAACCGAAGAAGTCATTTGTAAGACTGAAATCATGGGTAATGAAGATCTTCTGACTATTTGCCATATGTTCAATTCAGATGAAGAAGATGACAAAAATAGACTTATATCTGACTTGTGTCGCATCAATGATAATAATGGCAAAAGTTTAAATCTGGCAATTTCAAATAATGATGACAAACGTTTAAATCTGGCAAATTCAAATAATGATGACAAGTGTTTAAATCTGGCAAATTCAAATAATGATGACAAGAGTTTAAATCTGGCAAATTCAAATAATGATGACAAGTGTTTAAATCTGGCATATTCAAATAATGATGAAGAGAGTATAAATCTGGCAGATTCAAATAACGATGAAGATAGTGTAAATCTGGCAGATTCAAATAATGATGATGAAGAGAACTCTGAAAGTGCTGAGCTTTCAGATTTAGAAATTACATTTGAACCCAAGTCATCAATCGAATACAAAACACCAACACGTGTGACTAAAATAAAGAAACATGCCATCAAATCTAGAGCAAGACCATTTTCTTGTGATGTCCGCAGCAAGACTTTTATGAATGAACACCAAAAAAACCATAGCCTTGATTCTGGAAGTATCAAATGTGACTTATGCAGTAAACCATATAAATCTGAACGCGCATTAAGACAGCACAAGAAGACTCACAGGGCTTTAGACTTTGTGTGCCAACATCCTGGATGTTTCAAAGCCTTTGCAGAGAAATCAATTCTAGATGTTCATTCTCGAAAACATTCTGTAATACACCCATATATATGTGAAATATGTCGCAATAGTTACATGGTGAAAAGTCATTTAAATTCTCATAAGTTGTCCCATTCTGAGAAGTTTGTCTGTGACTTTTGTGGTAAAGAATATACAGCCAAGAAAAATTATATCAGACATTGTCAGCAGCACTCTAGGGATAATTCTTTTGGGCTTCAACTCTGTCAAAAGGTCTTTAGCAGTAATGAAACTTTATATAAACATGTTGCTGGGCATAAAGATGGGAAAACTTATCAATGTGAAATTTGTTATAAAACACTTAAATCACTTTCCTCTTTAAACTTTCACAAGCGGTTACATTATGGCACCAAGGACTTTAAGTGTGAACATTGCTCAAAATCATTTGCTACAAGAAAGTACCTAATGATACATTTAAAGAACCATGACAGAGTTTTTCCATGCAAATTGTGCAAGGTAATATTCAATAATCAAAATGAGTTAAAGGAACATTTCAAAAAGTCTCATCATCCAAAGAAAGTTGCCTTAGAGTGTTGTCAATGTGGCAAAATTTTTTCAGCAAAAGCTAAATTTAATAAACATATAAAAACTCATAAAAGAATTGAACAAAATAGTGATAATGATTTCAGCATGGCAGGTTCCGAAAATCTGAATGATTCCAATGATTATTCAATGAAAGCTGATGATTCTGACAAAATGAGTACTGATGATGAAAATTCAAATGATGTAAATGATTCCAATTCAGTAAACACAAATGATTACTGGAGGATGAATGATTCTGAAGTTGGTGAAATGAATGATTCTTATTCGGTTGATATGATGAATGATGAAGACAATGATAATGAAGTCTCAGATATTGATAATGAAGTCTCAGATATTGATAAAGACAATGGTTATGAAGTTTCAGATAATGATAATGAAGGATCGGATAATGATAATGAAGTTACAGATAATGATGATGTAAGGTTATTTACTAGTAATGTGAATAATGATGGAAAGGAGTATGGTGGTAATGCAAAATCAGATCATGATGATGATGATGGACCTTTGACATTTACTGTTAATGGCTCTATAAATAATTCTTCAGAGAGTGATGATGATTCTTCTGATAATGAAGAGAGCAGTAGCGGAAGAGATCAGAAAGGTTTCAGAACTGATTCCAAAATAAATGTCAATCTTTACAGCTCTTTCAATATCAGCAGTCATTTCAAATTAAGCGCCTACAAAAAACATTGATCTAATTTCATGCCACCAGATATATGTATAATGTCATTGGTGTCATCTTAACACTGTCAGAGAGTGTGGCAAAAGGTGCTTTCAGGGGAGTATGCTAGGGCTGGGCGATTTTGGTTCAAGTGAATAAGATGATATTAATCATTAATCACAATATGGGTGATTCGATATTTTCGTTTGGTTTTTGATACAAAATGGTTTTTTCTTCTATCCAAAAAATTTTTCAATGTAAGAAAAAAAACAATGAATATCACTTAAAAACATATATGAATGTCATGATATCAAATATTAAATTACTTTTTATAATTGTGTAGATGATATCTGGACAAAATTTGAGGATATTATGATAAGTAACTACTCCACATATCGAGATGGTTCGATGTGATCCTTGGGTCGAATGTTCGTTTACGATTTTCTGTATGTCCGCTTGGGTTAGTCACATAGATCACCTCGCTCAGTTATCTTCAATGAACCACATTTCCTCCTGAGTACATCATTAACAGTGCTGAACTGACTCTCCACCAAATACGTGGTATGAAATGGCAACAGTAGATTCCTCCCCATTTCCCCCCCTCACAATAATTCATCCCCTCTCCATTTCCCCCCTTGCAATAATTCATCCCCTCTCCCCTCCTTGCAATAATTCCCTCCCATGGATTGCCATTTCCTTCCTTGGGGAGAAGGACTGGTCTAACCACTCTTGAACAGTATTTGTATTTCATTTTGGCATAAACTATGATGGTTTTTGATGTTATTGGATGTTAATTCATCAGAACATGGTTTTAAGCATAAACTTGTTAGATCATGGGATAGGTTCAAAAATATTGGTAGGAAATATTTTATTATTACTGGATATAAAACAAACAATATAAAATATTATGACAAAAGGTAACAAAATCAACTATATTATTGAATAAATAAAGGGATATAAATATAACTCAATCTTGGTTACCAAATACACTATCAAAGATAAAAAAAAGCTAACATCAGGTTACTATTCTAGTAAAATGAGTTGATGTCATACAGGTTACTATTAAATAAAATATAAACAGTTGAAATTGAAATAAATGTCAGGTTACTATTGAATAAAATATAAACAGTTGAAATTGAAATAAATGTCAGGTTACTATTGAATATAATATAAACAGTTGAATTTGAAATTAATGTCAGGTTATTATTGAATATAATATAAACAGTTGAATTTGAAATTAATGTCAGGTTACTATTGAATATAATATAAACAGTTTGAATTTGAAATTAATGTCAGGTTACTATTGAATAAAATATAAACAGTTGAATTTGAAATAAATGTCAGGTTACTATTGAATAAAAATATAAACAGTTGAAATTGAAATAAATGTCAGGTTACTACTGAATATAATATAAACAGTTGAATTTGAAATTAATGTCATGTTACTATTGAATATAATATAAACAGTTGAATTTGAAATTAATGTCAGGTTACTATTGAATATAATCAAAACATTTGAATTTGAAATTAATGTCAGGTTACCATTGAATATAATATAAACAGTTGAATTTGAAATTAATGTCAGGTTACTATTGAATAAAATATAAACATTTGAAATTAATGTCAGGTTACTATTGATTATAATATAAACAGTTGAAATTGAAATAAATGTCAGGTTACTATTGAATAAAATATAAACAGTTGAAATTGAAATAAATGTCAGGTTACTATTGAATATAATATAAACAGTTGAAATTGAAATTAATGCCAGGTTACTATTGAATATAATATAAACAGTTGAATTTGAAATTAATGTCAGGTTACTATTGAATATAATATAAACATTTGAATTTGAAATTAATGTCAGGTTACTATTGAATATAATATAAACAGTTGAATTTGAAATTAATGTCAAGTTACTATTGAATATAATATAAACATTTGAATTTGAAATTAATGTCAGGTTACCATTGAATATAATATAAACAGTTGAATTTGAAATTAATGTCAGGTTACTATTGAATAAAAATATAAACTGTTGATATTGAAATAAATGTCAGGTTACTATTGAATAAAATATAAACAGTTGAAATTGAAATAAATGTCAGGTTACTATTGAATATAATGTAAACAGTTGAATTTGAAATTAATGTCAGGTTACTATTGAATATAATATAAACAGTTGAATTTGAAATTAATGTCAGGTTACTATTGAATAAAAATATAAACTGTTGATATTGAAATAAATGTCAGGTTACTATTGAATAAAATATAAACAGTTGAAATTGAAATAAATGTCAGGTTACTATTGAATATAATAGAAACATTTGAATTTGAAATTAATGTCAGGTTACTATTGAATATAATATAAACATTTTAATTTGAAATTAATGTCAGGTTACTATTGAATATAATATAAACAGTTGAAGTTGAAATTAATGTCAGTTTACTATTGTATATAATATAAACATTCGAATTTGAAATTTATGTCAGGTTACTATTGTATATAATATAAACAATTGAATTTGAAATTAATGTCAGGTTACTATTGAATATAATATAGAATTTTCGAGAATATGTGGCCAGGTCCTGTATTGTTTTTTTGCCATTCAAAATGCCTTCTAGGCTACTGTTGATTCAGGTGGGTCTATAATTAAATGACTGGTTGAAACACTTCAGGATGGACACGTAGTCTATGGTTTTTCAGTGAAGTTGACTGACTATAAATTTCGCCACACAATTTACACTTGTAAGGTTTAATTCCAGAATGCACTCTTTTATGACACCTCAGACCACTACTATCTCCAAAAGATTTATCACATTGATCACAAGAAAAAGGTTTCTCTCCAGTATGTGTTCGAATGTGTCGGTTTAAAGCACCTTTATGAATGAATGCTTTTTCACAAAAGGAGCATTTAAAGTCTTTAAGATTCAAGTGAACTGCAGCTGTATGTCTTTGTAAATCGTACTTAACATAGAAAGTTTTCGGACATTCTGTACAATGGAAGGTTCTTTGTTGGCGACTTTCATCTGGTATCATATCGTCTTTATAGTGGGTATGTTCATGACGTAAGAGTGATGAATTGGAGCGAAAACGATGTGTGCAGATTTGACACTCAAATGGTTTGAAGTCTAAATGGATCTTTTTGTGCTCTTTTAACATACTGTGTGTAAGGAATTTCTTTTCGCACTGCTCACAAGAAAACATTTTTTCTTTCCAAAAATCATCATGATATTTCAAATGCGTCCTTAGAGATGCACGATGGCAAAATCTTTTTTCACACTGAGTGCAGACGTATGTTTTGATTTCGGAATGAGTTCTCAGATGTTCCCGGAGTTCAGAATTGGTTGGAAACGCTTTAGGGCATTGTGGGCAATTAAAGGGACGTACCCCAGTGTGAGTCATTTTATGTCGCCCTAGAGTAGAACGCTGTGCGAACGAATCACCACACTCGTGGCAAATAAAAGGTCTTGCTATGATATGTTTTCTTTCCACATGTTTATTCAACGAGTCCATATCTTTAAAAGTTTGAGTACATTCAGGACAATAAAGAACCTCTTTGGCATTAGTATTTTGATTAAAAAGGCTTTGATTAGTTATATTTGATTTAAGGAGGCTTTCACATGCTAATATGGCTGAACGGGCATCAAAGATAGGTTCCCTTGCCTGCCAAATACCATTCGAATGATCATTGTGTATGTTGAAATCATCCCTACTGCAAATATTGATACCCGGTATATGGCTGATATCAAAATCTGTCTTATCTCTGATGGGGCAATCATTTTCATCTCTTTGGAAGCTACCATTGGTGTGTACTTGATGATCAATGGTGTCTGAGAAAGCAAATCTATGGATGTTACCGTCAAATTCATATTGATCATAGTTGTCTTCATCTATTTTAATGGTGTTGTTATTCTCGCAGATGTTATCCTCATGCTGAAGAACATGGTCTTTTAAACTCTCTTCATCAGCAAATCCCAGAGAACACACTCCACATAGAAATGGATTTGCACTGACAGAACTGTTGTTGATCTTCAGCATGTCTAACTAATACAATGGGAACCTAAAAAAATATAATTTGATTACTGTCCAACAACGTTCTGGAAAAATATGACATCTCTGATATCAGTCCAAATTTCCTCTTTTGACATTATACCTTTTATAACACAAATGTCGCTTTGAAAACGTCAATAATGCCATGCAGTGTGCATTGAGGGAAATTTAGTCAGGACAGTGGCATTAACCTACTCTCTTTTGATTGCAATTTGATGAATGACCAGAAAGGTGCATAGCCTGTAGCCCACCAGACCTCGGTTTATCAACAGGCGCTTTTCAATGTCCTCCTCAGCATTTCAGGGGGAGACTGGGTTGAAAATCTGAAGGTATTTTCTCAATATATGCAGATTGAACCCTGGCCCTTTGGGTTAATGAGTAAGCATCTAAATCACTGGTGACTGAGCGACAAAAAGAGGCAGACGAGTGAAATACAGCATGGACATTTCAATCGTTAATGTGTCAGAATCAGTGCCTACCTGCAACTCTTCTCAAATACAAAGTTCTGTCAACCGCTTTTTACATAGAGCAAAGACCAATTCAAAGTAAAATGCTTTCTCCAACTAGAAATGACTCTCAAAAGTAGATATAAATAAAGTAATATACTCACAACAATATTCTTAATCATTCGATCCTCATTTCAGATAACATTTTAAAGCTTACTACATAAGTTTCTAGAAATTAATTAGAACTTGTCATTTTCCACCATTACCGGAAATGTAATTTGGAGTCAGACCACTAATATTCCAAATCTAATTTGTACAGTCCAGTTACGACAATTCGACCCGAAAGTGACCATTATGGTCTTGTATTTCAGTACATATGCTCAAAGGTTAACCAATGCCATACGCCATATCAAATTGTAGTTCGCTTTTGGTAACGTTTAATGATTAATTTAATATTGTACGGTAAACGACAACACGTTCACATAGGCTAACTGTTGGTCACATTCATTTCTTGTTCAGATCACCCTTGCTAGTACACATTCTGGCTTACTTTAGTCACAGGTCTTACAAGATTTTGTTTTACAAAACCTGGTTAGGATGTATCTCGTCTTAGACCCTATATAACATTTACTTTAGACATACAACAACTTGAAAAATTCCACCTATGTAAGACGCCATCTTGAATTCAAAATGGCGATCATTAAAATCACAGACACACTAGCTGGTGCTTACATAGACCTGTAGTCTTATAAATATACAGTTTTTATGTGATTTACTGTAACTATGTTTGCTAATTGGATAGCTATGGATGCTTAACTATACATTTTTAGAGTCAAGGGCGAGTCAAACTACATTTGGCCATGATTGTCGCCATATCAAATTCGAATATAATTGCAGAACTATTTTATTTTGTGCAGATAAATTCCACTTACAAATTTAACCCTTGAAATGAAAGAAGACATTAAAATCTTTTTTCCTTTTTGTAAACATTTTAAAATGAAAATATCAATGGAAAAAAAAAGCTTTGAAAAGATTATAATGGTAAAAAGTGTATGAAATGTGATGTCTTCATAAAAAAGACATTTTCATTTGCAAATTTGTCAGCAGTAGCCAAAGTCCCTAAAAAAGTGAGCAAATAATTGCCAACAGTGTCGCTAAATGATGACCATTTATAAGCAATATCTGTTAAAGTTACCTAATCGTGCGATGAGATAACTATTTATAGTCATATTTTTGTACAATGATTTCAAACTTATTTTGATGGTTGAAAAGAAACCAGTTAGGCTACAATTGACAAGTAATAGTCACTATTCAACAGAAGGCAATGTCACAGGGTGATTTTCTTGGTGTCCCTGTTTAGGCCCCGAAGTCTTCGCAAAGTAGTCATTACGATTTTGCAACTCTCCGTCGAAAATTTGAATTGAAATCAAGTTTATTCACTATAAAATACATAAACAATATAACATCATAAAAATAACAAAGCAATATACATCTAACTATATTTCAGTAATTTAGAGTTATGATCTTAGACCTGGGATCTAGACCAGTAGACCAGTGCATCTTATTGAACAGTTAGCTGAATACATTCAAGTATGTTCTGCATAATATATGTAATATACATAAAATTATATAGTTAATAACTGATTAGCACATAGATTTATTTGCATAGTCAATTTTTTTTTCAACTAGTCAAAATTGAAATTCTTCAACTAATTGAAAAAGTCAGTCACAATCTACTAGGGTCTGATAGTGGTCATGAATTACTATCCGACGAATATTTGCTGAATTTTCACAGGACAAAACAGAATTGGCGCACAGGTCGAAGTAAAAAAAGAAACCACTCAGATAAAAGTTCTATTTTCTCGATTTATTGTAATTCTCGTATAGTTTTAACGGTTCATAAACTGAGGCTGGTTGTGGCAGCGTGTTCCCAAGCGATGCATAATGATTTATTTCAATTGAACTTTGACCTGTAAAAATTACAACAAAATTAATGCAGTGAAAAAGGAGTAGACTCAAATGTCCAGGAGTTTTCAATCTTTTCTTTCTATTACACCTTTCTGTCTCCTTTATCGGTTGATTTACACTCCCTTCCCCTTTGTCCTCTGAATCTTTACTATTTTTGATTTTTTCCTTAGATTTCCCTGCAATCTTTATTAATTCAGAGAATATCTGACTGAATAGAGCAACTTAACTCAATTTGTACAAACAATTTATGCTAGACAACAAAGAGCTTCATTACTAAGAATTTCAAATTGTCCCCCTTGGAAGTTATCACCCTCAGATTAAAAAAACAAAATAGCCCCTCCGGATATTTACTTGCCTCTCCGAACAATCAAGTCTGACAATCGGGCCGATCTGGAGATGCCGACTTACAACGAAATGAAGACGATCTGTCATGTATTCGGTAAAATATATTAAACTACTTACCTTGTGTTGTGTTAGTTGGCGGTAATGATATTTGAGGAGTGAGATATCTGTCAAAAGAAACACATAGTTTTCAGGTCTTCATAAGAAGTCATTATTTCTTAAAGTTTGCTTTCAAACAAGGCATTTGGTTGGCTATATATCAAATTTTTACAAGGGAGATAAAGTGTATATTTAAAACATGTGGACATGTGTCAAGCGAATTCCAAAAAAAAAAAAAAAAAATGCCAAATGATGTCAAGGTATTAGACAGAGTTCATAATAGTTTTATATTAGGAAGATGGTGGTTATGAAGAATTATAAATGAAGATTGAGAAAAGAAGAATTGGTAACAGAAGTAAAAACACCTACCCTCCACTATCAGCTACTATAATGTTTCCTTCTGTAAAATAAAAAAAAAAATTGTATGAAGAAATGTATTGAATTGGAAAGGCGTGATATGCTTATTAAAATTTACGTAAATCATACTTGAAAACTAATCCAGATCATAATGAAAAGTAGGGCTACGTTTTCGTGTGCTTCCTTTAAATTATTTAGCCATTTGATCTCTGATGAAATTATTTTTAAAAGTAATTGTTTAGGCAAATATCTGGGTTTTTTTTTCGACGACACATTAACAAAACTATGCAGAAATCACAAGAAAGCATTTTATGAATCAGAAAGTGGTTTTTTGTTTTTCATAGATACTGTTTCATGTTCCATGTTAGACGAAATATAATGTGCTTCAACAGTTATTAATACTGAAATTTCTATGACGTCCTATAAAATTTTAAAATTTATTGTTATTTATTATTTATTTATATAATGGATCATCGTCTCCAATCCACACCCCCATTCGTCATACTTCCTTGGGGGCCGTGGTAACACAAGTGAGAAAAATTACGTATTCATAGATAAATATTGTCCAATCAAAATTGACCCTATTGTATTTGTCGCAAATTTCAGCCAAAAAAACAAATCACGCCTGATGACGCTTTGTTTGCGAACATAAACGAAACGAAAGCCGCATGTCATACCATATTTTGATGAATATGTAGGCTGCGGCTACGGTACAGAATTGAGTACGATTTTCGTTAAAGAACTGAAGCCGAGAGAAAATCAAACCTTCAAGCCTTCAATCTCTTCAAACGGGCGGCGTAACAGCGGTGTTGTGTTTTGCTTAATGACTTCATTTCTGCCAGATTTAAATGGCATTTCCACGCCCCCAAACAACGTGTAGCAGGCTTAGTTTAACAGGGTTAATAAGACCATGTAAAAACCCGTATTCGTGATACGATGATACTAGGTGTATCTAAATCTATGAATTCCTCAAAGATCACTTACCTCTCTTCAACTTTCTTTTGTTCATGAAGCAGTATAAAAGTAGTGCCGCAGATTCCAATATCATGCCTAGTAATAAACCTGTCACAATACCAATACCAAATCCCTCAGGGAAAGACGAATCGGTATATTCCTCACAAAATAAAGACTGGGTACTACTAGTTGTGGAACCCATTGTCTGAGAAGTACCTGTTGATGTTACTGCTGGCAAAGAAGTGGGTACTGTGGCTCTTTGTGTTGGTACTAGAGTGACTTGTGAGTTAGGAGCTAGAATGTAAAATAATTAACCGAATGAAAATCGGCACGAATTATATACAGCTTTAGGCTGCAGAGTACTGGCACAATCTTCATCTGTATTCCTGCAAAACGAACATAATCAGGAAATATTAGTATATTATATATAAAAAGAACACCTACCTCTTGTTCCTGCCCTTGGCAAATGACTTACAATAAATAAGGAAAGGGTACTTACCTTGACAAAATAATAAATAAATAAATAAATAAATAAATAAATAAATAAAATTTAAAATAAATAAATACAATTTAAAATAAATAAAGAAATAAATAAAATTTAAAATAAATAAATATAATTTAAAATAAATAAATAAATAAATAATTTGTAAAAATGTAATATATTTTTTCTTGTTGACGGTGATCAAAACTTAGTGATGGATATGCTTTTTCACAATACATTACATCTTATCACTGTAAAATAAATGGTATTTTATTCACTGTTATTATTCTTTATAACAAAATGACGTTTTACGTTTAATCACAATAATATATTACGTCAAATCACAATATGAAGTATCATACAAAATAATATATAACGTTTCCGCGCAAGATATGCGTTATCCCAATATATTATGGAGCATTTTATCACAATATCGTAGGCTTAATCACAATAATTTACGCTTGATCACAATATATTATTTATGACATTTTAAATAAATATATATTACACTTTATCACAAAATATTACGCCATATCACAATCTTGTGTATCATAACAAAATAATATATATTACTATCAAAACAATACATTACGTATTTTCACAGTAAATTACACTTAATCACAATATATTACATATGATCACAATAAATTACACTTGATCAAAATAAATTACGCTGTACCACAATAAATTACACTTGATCAAAATAAATTACGCTGTACCACAATAAATTACACTTGATAACAATAAATTACGCTGTACCACAATAAATTACACTTGATCAAAATAAATTACGCTGTACCACAATATATTACACTTGATCAAAATAAATTACGCTGTACCACAATATATTACACTTGATCAAAATAAATTACGCTGTACCACAATATATTACACTTGATCAAAATAAATTACGCTGTACCACAATATATTACACTTGATCAAAATAAATTACGCTGTACCACAATATATTACACTTAATCAAAATAAATTACGCTGTACCACAATAAATTACACTTGATCACAATAAATTACGCTGTACCACAATAAAGTTACACTTGATCACAATGAATTACACTTGATCAAAATAAATTACACTTGATCACAATAGATTACGCTGTACCACAATAAATTACGTATCACGTATTATCTAAATCATAAAAAGGTGAATGTAAACATCAACATTACATCGTTCATATTCAAGAACGCTACATGTTAATTTATATCATCAGATAATCTTTCAAAAACACAAAGTTTTGGTTTATTATCAATATAATTTAAAGGGACAAATTCTTCGGGGGTTGATTTGGGTCTTGAATATATGTAAATTGTCCAAGTTTTAGAAATGTACAAAAATCAATAATACCTCAAACTAGCAATTTCACGTTCTATATATATGGCTTTTCTATATATATCACAGAGTATCTTAAAAAGAAGAGTCGTCATTTTAACATTCAAACGCGGATAATTCTGGATACACATGGATTTGAGGGCCAGAGCTGTTAACACTATTACAAAATTGGCGAACCTGTACCTATAAGATGTTTTCTGTCGAATTAAACTTATTCCATCTTTCAAATTTAAACGCAGAGGATGATGCTCTAGCAGTTCTATCAAAATGCTACGATGATTGTCAACCAATATCATTTACCTTTCATTGAAATTAATACATCCACGATCATCACCGAGTTCATATCACAAATTAAAACTAGTTTCACTTAACTGGGCTTTAAATTCATCTGAATAATACTTAAAACTATATCTTTATATGCCCATATAAGGATTTACATAGGATACAAGTCCGGAAACAGATAATCTACAATTTCCCCTGTACTCTTATGATTATATGATAAAATTACAGGAAATTAATTTGTAGGACGAGCTGGGTCATTTTGTCCGCTTTAAAGACGATGAAATCATTAAAATCATTAAATTTCATTTACATCCACCAGCGCCTCAGTTGATATATAAACATCGTCAGAATAAAATGAAAAAAAAAAGTGCTATTTTTTTAGTTTTATGTCGATTTTCGTTTTCTGTGGCTCCAGTAAACCTGACGAGATTATGACGTCATTATCGCATGTACCATTTGACTTTATTTGTTTTTTGTCTACGATACACATAAATAGATCAGATAACACGCGTAGTAAGTAATTTTGAACTTTGAACAATGGTTAAGTTACATTATGGTATGAACGTGGGTTTTTGTTATAATGGATTTTAAGGCCGGTACAATCCAGAGCTGATAGGAAAAATATATATAGAAAAAAAATAATTGGTTGTAGAATCATCTAATATTTTCTTCTTCAGTACACTTAAAATTACAGAATATTTCACAAGAATGACACGAAACGAAACTAATATAACAGAATTTCACTTAAATTCATACGACTAGATCTTCAGTTTGAATTCAAAAAAGGTTAACTACGAATAATATATATCTAGTTTGTTAGTTTGTAAAAGTATCCCCCCTTGTTTAATTTTGTCGTTGAGATGGTCTTATTTAAAGCAATAGTAAACTTTGGATATCCTTTTTTCATTAATGACCGACTAAATCAAACAATTTATACTGATAATTTAACTATCTCAAATAATAGATAATAAGGTTTATTCATTTCTAAATTGAACCCTGATCTTTGCCCCAAAATGTCACATTACGTCATAGCCCCACATCATCAAATGTGACGATTTGGTTAACAAGTGTGATGTTATTTTTGATATAAAACTCTTGGATAAATTGACGGTGTTTTATGAACCAACAAGGTAAGGGTTACCCCAAAAAATAAATAAGATGCCGATCATTTGATAATGAACTTATTTAAAAGAAATAACAGGTTATGTATACTTTTTGAAAGGAATGTCGAGCTGACAAACCGAGTCGCAGAATGGATTCAAAAGCAAGGAGTAGCTTGGGCGCCAGTGGGGGTATGTGCAGGGAGAGAAAAGTGTCAGAATGCACCTAATTTTTTCTATTTTTACATTGTCTTTTTGGAGAACCCCCTCGAACGCTCCATGGGAGGCCTGTGACTATGGTCATTTCACTGAGCTGCCGAATTTGGAAACTCAACCTCAACATTTGTCACCTCTATTTGTACCTCCGTCTAGGGAAGCTGTTGCAGCCACTGGAAATGAGATCATATTTTAGCTGTGTGATCTCTATTCAAAATGTATCAACCGAATATCAGCTGATCCACTTGGTCAAGCATGCCTCACCTCGTCAATGTCATCCCAAGATGGATGACACGCTATAGGAATAACTACAATGTCATCTTCTATTCATTAGTCAGAATTTCATATAATATAATGACGGTTTGTGTCTTACGAGCGTAGGAAATGATCTAGGCATAATGTAGATTTAGTCAATGAACCGAAGGATTGTGATTACATTAAACTTGCGACACATATCAGACGTTGGCTTAAAGTGAATTTCAATTCTCAAGAATGGTCAATATGAGTATATATTCATCAGTCAACTTACCTGGTGTCTTAAAATTACTACAGAATCCCTGTAAAATCTGAAAAATTGGAAAATTCATAAAACTGAGTAATTATTGAAAAAATGCTTAATCTTAATATTAAGTGTTTTTCAATTGCATATAACTTTATGGTCAACTTTAGTCTTGTCATTTCCTGATTATGAATGGCGTAAAATTGACGGGAAATTGAGAAAGAAAGTACTTGAATCAATGTAGACATCTGACCTTTGACACAAATAAAACAGAATCATTGATGTAAACCCTCCGTTGTAATATAAAATCAAAGCCTGAGTTTAAAATAAAGAACGGGAAAATTAGAAAACCCTAGATTACTTAAATCCACGAGTTCCTTCCCTTGTGAGCCGCGAAAACTCGGTGAGGCGATTTCACTCTTGAAAATCTAGAACCTAGACCCGCAGAATATCTTTTTATATACATGTATATTACATGTATATAAAACTAGTGGATACTGTCAGTGACGTAGGCACGAGGAACTGACATAGAAATAGCGTCCACTAAATAGAAAGGGCCAACAAATCGAAGCCAATCGTACTCATTATCGCAATCAAAAGCAAAAAGTAGAACTTAAACCTTATTTGATTTTATTTTTCGGATTCTTTCCCTTTCCCCAAAAATTAAAATTGGACATAAACTGGAAACATATGCGAAATTTACCATACGACGTGCGTGAGTGCCCCTGTGCAACATTTTTTTCAAATTTCAAGTCATTAACCGATATTCAGGAAACCCAAACCAAGACGTACAGGACCATATTCACCAATATATATATATACATGTACACCCATTATATATGTACCCATTAATTCATATGAAGAAAATTTCATTAGCCAATTATTTATTTCCATCTCTAGTCGAATCGTCGTCTACCCTTGCACTTGGAGAAATGTTTGGGTAGTTGGAGACGGATCTACTCACGCCTTACATAATCGTCATTCTGTCACTCCGTCACTATTCTGAGTGTCAACATATTTTGGTGCATACCGAAAAATTGAATTCTTTGGTAGTGAATAACATTCTGCAGAGATTAAGTGCTTCAAGTGATGACAATGAAGCTGCTGTCAGGGTAAAACCATTAGGTACTCTCAACAATGATATTCACACAAGTCCTGTTTCCTCTCTCTCTCTCTCTCTCTCTCTCTCTCTCTCTCTCACACACACATTATTACTCTAATGCAACTACCATCTTTTTTTTCAATATTCAGAAGGAAAAATGAAGTATGAATCTCTGGGTTTGCTACATGAGCTGTTTACCAAACAAGCCTTAAAGACACCCGACAGGATCGCCGTACATGCCGTGGATGACCGAGAAGTCACATTTAAAGAACTGAATGATTGGACGGACATTCTTGCCACAGCTTTACAGAATAGAGGGGTACTACCAAATACCCCGGTTGGTCTCTATCTAGAAAAAGGCATCGAGTTCGTCATCACCTACATCGCCGCTTTAAAATCAGGTAAAGCAACAAAATCTATCAAATCTCCCATAAAGTAGTTTTATGTACGTATCGTTGACACCGAGTTCTTCACCACCTTCATCGCCGCTTTAAAATCAGGTAAAGCCACAAAATCAATCAAATCCATAATTTTATGTACTTATTGAAGACATTGATGGACCAAATTCGAGTTCGCATCAAACATTTGAGCAAAGGAACATGACAACTGCACAGGTTAATCATTTTGTCGTGGTTAGAATTACAGAATCGATGTTAAAATAGTGTTACCGGACTTCTTGCCCATATTTTTGCAGGTGGTGCATATCTACTCATAGACTCGAGTTACCCAAAGCACTTAGTGAAAGCCATACTAGAAGATGCTAAGCCCAATGTGGTCGTGACTGTACCAGAAACAACTGCTATACTAGAAGGTGGGATTTCCTATATTTCAATAAAACTTTGATATTACCTCATATTGCAGTACAATCAAATTAAAGAAAATAACGTAGATACAACGACGAGAGGTTAAATCTTTTCTTTACAGCTGTTAGGAGATTTTGTGACTCTAATATGGGAATCACGATGCTAAAGACGTAAGCATTATAAAAAAACACTAGAATTGGTCTGGTATTCCGAGACATTGTACATCCAATACGCTCTCATATGATAAGTGGCTTACCCAACACAATACATAAAGGGCAGCATCAAATTCTTGAATCCACACTAGTCAGGTACTAGTTCGCATACCTAACAACCACCAACGAATACATCCATAAGAACAGCTGGGATTCTGTTCACCGATCTTTCTGACCAACTGGCAGTTGAACGATTGTCAGTCAGAACAAAAAGGAACATTACCAAGTGGAAGTGTTAGCATCAGTCACTTATATCTTGTTTGACTGAACAAAATATTGCATCATTTTAGAAAGTGGTGCCAGAAATATCATTATTCTTGATAAAGTCTGGCAAGAAAGATTAGCTGCAGAAAATGAATCAAGACCTAAACCGAAATCTCCTGATGTCCATTTAGATTGTATGGCTTACATTGTTTATTCTTCTGGTACTACTGGCAAACCTAAAGGTAAGAGATGAATTGGACATCCAAATCACGAACATACCCCATTACACCAGGTCGAGTTTATGTGGAAATCTGTTGTTACTTATCTTTTGTCCTTAGGGCAGTGTACATAGCACATAGCACATGCAATGACTATTATGACGAACGTTCGGCAATACATAAATCCTTTTTAATGCTCATCGCAAAATGAAAGATTGCCATTAACGAAGATCGCATGGGAGGATTGTTCTCATGATATTCTTTTTGTTTCTAAGGACCTTAATCGAGATTTAAAACTTGTTATGGTCGCTTAATTGACTCATATTAAGTTCATGGCAGTGTAAATACATGGTCAGTGGTCGCGTTAGAAGGTGGTCGCTTATCAGTCGTAAATTATATTTCAAAGTTATTATGGCGGTTCTTTATTGTGGTCGCATATTGAAGGTGATTGCTTAATAAAGGATTCACTGTACATACATCTATTTATCTTCGTCCCTACTATTTTGGTTCTTTGTAGGCATTATGTGTCCTCATCGTGGCGCTGTATTCTCATATACATGGAGACATGAAGCCTATCCTTACCAAGATGATGACAGAGAAGCTTGTAATATTTTTTTTACTTGGGAACTACTCAGACCATTGTTGAAAGGTAGGCAGGTCTTCTGAAAATCACATTGGATCGCTTCCTCTAACTGACTTCATGATACTCGACAAGTACTGCTGCAACCATTGTTATCGATACCTCCTAAAATCAAGCATGGGCTACAAACTAGAGACCTTATTCTGGAAAACTTAAATAAGATCAAATCCAGCTTTTGAAAAATACAGTAATCTGATTGGAAAAATAAAACTAAATTTAAAACCAATTTTAGTGATTAACCAATCAGATGATTGCAACACTTAAATCACTTAAAGTTAAGTTTTCCAGATTAAGGCCTCAGAAGATTATGAATACCAGACCCGTAGAGTTGATTGTTCTGAGGGGCAATTAATATTTCTGGAGGGGCAATGGCGTATGCAGTTTAGTTGCATGGAATGGGTCGGTTGTCAGAATTTATGCAGGGAGGCAATCATTGTTTTCGGGTAGACATTTCGAGCACTTATCATGTCATAACAATATCTTGATCCTTCTAAGGAAGATGGTCCTGGTGACTGTTTTGGAGGTTATCGCCATGGTTTGATACTGTTCTCCTTGCATCAATTTTGTCCAATATCTCATTCTAGGAATCACTTTATATCCAATACCAAATAATGTTATATTTGATATGCCTATTGTCACCAATTTATTAGAGAAGAACAATATCACCAGAATGTTGGTAACACCGTCTCTACTAGAAACTATTATAAATACATCTAACATCGATCTTCAGAAGGCTTTTCAATCATTCAGGTGCGTGGAATTAACATTTTTGATGACAGAGCTGTTCGTCTAATTATCTTAGAAAAGAAAGAAAGAAACCGCTTTACCACTCTTTTAAAAAGTGACACACAGGTATCTTTCTACCACCTGGATCTTGGCCAAATCTCTTGGCATTGATCTTTTCCGGATTATTCTTTCCAATGTACAGCTGGTTCGAATTCCATTTTGTTTTACACGATGTACTTGGCAGATTATCCCTTGGTGGCATCATAAACCGCTGTTTTAAATTTCCCCAGATCGTACACTCTATTTATCATCAAATTCACATTTTCATATTCTTTCCTGTATACGAAACAGACATCTGTTGAAACTCGCATTCTACTCTTGTTCCAGACAAATTTGGTTTTGTGGTGAAGTAGTAACGACAGCTCTACTTGGTAACTGTATGAAACTATTTCCTACTATAAGATTCATTAACCTATACAGTGTATCAGAATGTCATGATGTAGCTGCCGGAGATTTAACAGAGATGTATGAAAAGGACAAGGTATTTGAGTCTTATGTGGCTGAGCTTATAGCGAGGGAAATCAACACGTTATCACCAACACAGTATTTCTGGAAATGGTCACTGAGTAATACAGGATACAACCTCTCTGGAAAAAAATCCAATGGTCTGGAAAAATTGAACTAAGCACTAACAAAAATAATTCAAATTTGTCTGGTTGACAATCAAGGAAGCTCATGGACAATCATCGTGTCCAAACCACACCCCCATTCGTCATACTTCAATAAGACCTTGTCAAAACCCGTATTCGTGATACGATTATTGACAATATTTTTTTGAAAAACCAAATTTCCACGGTTATATAAATATAAGATTATTTCGAATGATGATATTATTTTAAGGATACCTTGATGTCCAGAAAGTTTTGTCCTGTTGGTCAATTGTTACCTGGTGTAGAAGTTGTTATATTAAATGATGAGATGATTCCACAATCTATAGGTCTTCCGGGAGAGGTAAATCCAACTTACATTTCTGTTTGGTTTGACAAGCTAAACTACTAAAAATAATGTTTCTAAAATAAGTATAAAGGTTACTAGCTAAGGGATGTTGGGATGATGAATCCAGTTGAAGAGTAACATAAGGGGTTCCGACGATAATGTGAGCACACAAAGTCTTTTCGTTTTTCCTTGTGGTACTAAAAATAACAAAAAATCTTACCTTGGTAGAAGCTTTTGTAGGGTACTAGTTTAACTACATAGAAAACCTTTTATCCTTTTGTATTTTCAAAAGTATTAGAGTTCTTGTTTAAAGCCGTGCATTCTTTTCCCAGATTTATGTTGGTGGACCTACTCTTGCATTAGGTTACCTCAACAATCCTAAAGCACAAGCAGCCAAATTTATCAAACGACCAGATACTGTACCAAGTAAAATCGGTGACAGATTATATCGAACTGGGGACTGGGGATATGTTCTAGCCGATGGGAGTCTGGAAATCTGCGGACGCTGTGACTCCATGGTCAAAATTCGTGGTTACTCAATCGAAGTTCAGGTTTGATTTATTGGTTTAACTCACTCAATCAATTGTGTAATTGCAGAGAGAGATCAGATGATCCAGCGGGGTGAAATCTTTGGACTCGGAGCTCACATTCACCAGCCGTGATGTGCGCCTAGCTTATGGTATATTGCAAGGCGGCAAAGGCAGAATAATCACGTTCTTGACAAATCGCATAGAATTTTCGAAAGGATTATTAAGAAAGTTGAGGTATAGGCTTGACAGAATAATGACAAATCTTATAGAATTTATGGACGGATGATTAGAAACTTCAAGTATAGTCTTTGGTTGTAATTTTAGGCTGTAGAAAATGCATTTAAAAGTTTATCGTGTGTAAGGAACAGTGTAGTGTTAGTAAGAGGGGAGGAAGGAGAAGATAAGTACCTCATAGCTTACATTGTCCTCGATATAGTTATTACCAAGAAAGACATCCGACAAAAACTGAAGCGAAAGTTGCCGTTTTATATGATACCGTCCTTTATTGTGATACTTGAGAAGTAAGTGCGATTTCATAAAAAGCTTAGCACAAGTAAGTGCGATTTCATGATAAGTTTGGCACAAGTAAGTGTTCGTGATAAGTTTTACACAAGTAAGTGCGATTTCATGATAATCTTTGCACAAGAAGTACGATTTCATGATAAGCTAGGCACAAGTAAGCGCGATTTCGTGATCAGTTTAGGACAAGTAAGTGCGATTTAATGATAAGCTTTGCACAGGTAAGTGCGATTTCATGATAAGTTTGGCACAAGTAAGTGCGATTTTTGTGATAAGTTTGACACAAGTAAGTGTTTCATGATAAGCTTTGCACAAGAAGTGCGATTTCATGATAAGCTAGGCGCAACTAAGCGCGATTTCGTGATCAGTTTAGGACAAGTAAGTGCGATTTCATGATAAGCTTTGCACAAGTAAGTGCGATTTCGTGGTAAGTTTGGCACAAGTAAGTGAGAGTTTATCATAAGCTTGGCACTGTAAAAGAATTCTGTGAGGAACAAAGTAGCAGTTCGGAATCAGTAAAGAAAGCATGAGCAAGATATGCTTCGACCTCCTAATTAGATTTTTTGGAGTAAGCGCAATGATTTTATGTTAAGGAAATCCATGGACAGCTTTATCCTCAGTAGACTTTAGACTTAACTGCAATGTTATTTTCTTTAGAATTCCAATCTTAGAAGCGTCTGGTAAACTGGACACTAAAGCTCTTCCACCTCTAGATCGACAAACTGTTGGTGAGGATTCTGATGGGAAACCAAAGACACCAACAGAGACCAGTCTTGCTAGGATCTGGAGTCAAGTGCTTTCTATTAGTGATATTGATATTGAGGAGAGCTTCTTCGATATGGGAGGGTAAGTTGATGTACTCTATTCCGGTATGTGGCGGTCACTGCCATAAATCGACTCTTAATTCGTCCCACTAAAATAGGACGAAAAAAAAAAGCAAATACTAACAATCCGAACCACAGAACGAAACCCGAAATCCAAAAACAACATGATGGCGAAACATAAGTAGCAGCTAATGAAATTTTCACAAGAGGAATTATATCAATTATAAGCGAGCAAGTATTTCATAATGATCCTTATATGAATACTGAAGGTTCGAATTTCAAAAGGTTACCTTATTTATCTTGGATATCCAGCTCAAGCTTGACAAGGTCTCAAGTATGAATGGAATAAATATAAAATAACTTACGTATTTTTTTTTTAAAAATTCTATTATATTTTTTGCTATAAATTGCAAGGGAGAACGGTTCATTTAAGTAGAGCTTTTTCATAAAAATAAAGTTTGGGATTATGTCCAAAAATTCATTTTACCAACAAATATGTGTATTAATATACCACTGTTTCAAAACCAATCCTGTGACTTATATGATATCCTTATTCGGTTGTGTTTTGAAATTAAGCATCTGTTCTTCAGTCATTCTCTACTGGCCGCCCAGCTCCTGAATAAAGTTAGAGAAGAATATAAAGTAAATGTAAGCGTCAAAGAACTGTTCACTTTCCCAACGGTTCAAGGCTTTGCTAAGCTGATAGATAGCAAATTCGGAGTAGCTGCTCTTGACGACACTGATACCGATGTTCCTGTATTGGATTTACCGGCTGAAGTTGAGAAACACGACCAACGTTCTATAATGTAAGTTTTGTATGGATCTCAAATGGCATCTTGAACTATGTACTCATCGCATGCTTTTGAGAATAGATTGTGTGCTTCGCTTCCAAATAAAAGCCAATGATTAACTAAAAGTTTTATACCAATATCACGTCATATTTTCCATCATAAATATACGACCAAAGCAATGTGGGCCTTCATTCTAAATTATGGTCTTATAGTATAGATATGCAGCTTCGTGCCTTTTGGAGAACATTTCACTATGGTCATCATTTCCAAAGTGGAAGAATCTTACTGACTGGTGCTACTGGTTTTCTTGGTGCCTTCATTCTACGAGAACTACTCTTATCCACAAAGGTATTTTCAAGTCACACTATTTATAAGTCCATTTTTTTGCGGACCTGGTGTCTCAAGAGGTTTTGCATCCTCGCGAAAAAAGATTACGTTTTATCAAAATAGTAACAAAGATTGAGTAGAAGATGTGTTGCTTTGCTTGCTCATGGCGGAATTGAACTAACGAATGACAATCCGCCTTTCTTGCTTTTCTTCCTGAGCGGAAAGTTCAGTTGAACTGGGTTGACCTCATCCTTCAGCTGGTAAAGCAAATACTTATACACAGTGGCTAAACTACCAACGGGACTGGTTGAACGGGCCCCACTCCCAAAAAAAACAGGTAATTAATTGATTAATTAACAAAATTACTTGGAGGGAGGGGGCAACCTACAAAAGTCCACTGGACCCTACTCATCCAGTTGAGCCACTAGTTATACCCATAAAGTATGCAAAAGACAAAGTCATTGTCATGAGTAAACCGTTTGGTATCATTGATAATTGGAGGTCGGTCCCACCTCGTTATGTAACGGATGTGCACATTGAGACGAAACAAGGTATGCCAAAGTTCTTTTAGGTGCTTAAACTGTATCAACAATAATGTTTTGGTAAATGTGCTTTGCTGGTGCTTTATTATAGATGTTTGTATACTGTTTAATAAGAGACCAGTCAGACATGAGTTTGGAAGACAGACTCCATAAAACATTAATAACCTACGGCATCATTACCGCCTCCGAGAGTAGGCCCACAGAAGAACAACAGAGATGCTCTGAGTTACTGAAGGGAAGAGTTCGACTGATAAAAGGTAAACGGAAGGTCATCTTTTGCCATTGATGATCTTGAAGGGTTGACATAAGCTAAAACGGTCATTCTTGTCCACATAAGGTAGATGAATGACCTTTGCAGGCGGCAGTAAATCTGTAAATAATCTAATCGATGTTAGGTAGCCTGCTATGATGATCCTAATCCATGTTATTGTTGATTGTTTTATTGTGTTTTATTTGTATTCCATTCCATGTCTACCTGACTTTGGAAGCACTGAGCGTTTTAGTTTTGTCCATGAAAAACCGGATTTTTTGGCACTTCCGCAAAAAAAAAAGTGCTCAGAATTCACTTTTATGCACATTGGGGGAGAGCTAGAGAAGCACCAAGTCCAAGAAACCGGGTAACATCGATTTCCGTGACCAAAAAAATTCGACCCAAAAATGGATTTTGGTACTACCTGTTGAAATTTGCCAATTTTGCCTTTTTTGAAAATCCAAATTTTGCAGCTTCACCACGGTCAAACCACTTGGGATAGGATGATGAAATTTTGACAGGTACTAGTTTGAAATCTTAGCTTTGCAATGCCACAAACCGCGATTCCATATCTGCCTTACTTTGGAAGCACCGAGCGTTTTAGTTTTGTCCATGAAAAACCGGATTTTTTTGCACTTTTCCGCAAAAAAAGTGCTCAGAATTCACTTTTATGCACATTGGGGGAGAGCTACAGAAGCACCGAGTCCAAAAAACCGGGTTACATCGATTTCCGAGACCAAAAAAATTCGACCCAGAAATGGATTTTGGTACCACAGGTAGATACCTGTTGAAATTTGCCAATTTTGCCTTTTTTGAAAATCAAATATTTGCATCTTCACCACGGTCAAACCACTTGAGATAGGATGATGAAATTTTGACAGGTACTAGTTTGAAATCTTAGCTTTACAATGCCTCAAACCACGATTCCATATCTGCCTTACTTTGGAAGCACTGAGCATTTTAGTTTTGTCCATGAAAAACCGGATTTTTTGGCACATTTCCGCAAAAAAAAGTGCTCAGAATTCACTTTTATGCACATTGGGGGAGAGCTAGAGAAGCACCGAGTCCAAAAAACCGGGTAACATCGATTTCCGAGACCAAAAAAAATCGACCCAAAAATGGATTTTGGTACCATAGGTAGCTACCTGTTGAAATTTGCCAATTTTGCCTTTTTTGAAAATCCAAATTTTGCAGCTTCACCACGGCCAAACCAGTTGAGATAGGATGCTGAAAGTTTGACAGGTACTAGTTTGAAATCTTAGCTTTGCAATGCCACAAACCGCGATTCCATATCTGCCTTACTTTGGAAGCACTGAGCGTTTTAGTTTTGTCCATGAAAAACCGGATTTTTTGGCACTTTTCCGCAAAATAAAAAAGTGCTCAGAATTCACTTTTATGCACATTGGAAGAGAGCTAGAGAAGCACCGAGTCCAAAAAACCGGGTTACATCGATTTCCGAGACCAAAAAAATTCGACCCAAAAATGGATTTTGGTACCACAGGTAGCTACCTGTTGAAATTTGCCAATTTTGCCTTTTTTGAAAATCCAAATTTTGCAGCTTCACCACGGCCAAACCAACTGAGATAGGATGCAGAAATTTTGACAGGTACTAGTTTGAAATCTTAGCTTTGCAATGCCACAAACCGCGATTCCATATCTGCCTTACTTTGGAAGCACTGAGCGTTTAAGTTTTGTCCATGAAAACCGAATTTTTTGGCACTTTTCCGCAAAATAAAAAAGTGCTCAGAATTCACTTTTATGCACATTGGAAGAGAGCTAGAGAAGCACCGAGTCCAAAAAACCGGGTTACATCGATTTCCGAGACCAAAAAATTCGACCCAAAAATGGATTTTGGTACCACCTGTTGAAATTTGCCAATTTTGCCTTTTTTGAAAATCCAAATTTTGCAGCTTCACCACGGCCAAACCAGTTGAGATAGGATGCTGAAAGTTTCACAGTTACTAGTTTGAAATCTTAGCTTTGCAATGCCACAAACCACAATTCCATATCTGCCTTACTTTGGAAGCACTGAGCGTTTTAGTTTTGTCCATGAAAAACCGGATTTTTTGGCACTTTTCCGCAAAATAAAAAAGTGCTCAGAATTCACTTTTATGCACATTGGGAGAGTGCTAGAGAAGCACCGAGTCCAAAATACTGGGTTACATTGATTTCCGAGACCAAAAAAATTCGACCCAAATTGGATTTTGGTACCACAGGTAGCTACCTGTTGAAATTTGCCAATTTTGCCTTTTTTGAAAATCCAAATTTTGCAGCTTCACCACGGCCAAACCAGTTGAGATAGGATGCTGAAATTTTGACAGGTACTAGTTTGAAAACTTAGCTTTGCAATGCCATAAACCGCGATACCATATCTGCCTTACTTTGGAAGCACTGAGCGTTTTAGTTTTGTCCATGAAAAACCGGATTTTTTGGCACTTTTCCGCAAAATAAAAAAGTGCTCAGAATTCACTTTTATGCACATTGGGAGAGAGCTAGAGAAGCACCGAGTCCAAAAAACCGGGTTACATGGAATTCCGAGACCAAAAAAATTCGACCCAAAAATGGATTTTGGTACCACAGGTAGCTACCTGTTGAAATTTGCCAATTTTGCCTTTTTTGAAAATCCAAATTTTGCAGCTTCACCACGGCCAAACCAGTTGAGATAGGATGCTGAAATTTTGACAGGTACTAGTTTGAAATCTTAGCTTTGCAATGCCACAAACCGCGATACCATATCTGCCTTACTTTGGAAGCACTGAGCGTTTTAGTTTTGTCCATGAAAAACCGGATTTTTTGGCACTTTTCCGCAAAATAAAAAAGTACTCAGAATTCACTTTTATGCACATTGGGAGAGAGCTAGAGAAGCACCGAGTCCAAAAAACCGGGTTACATCGATTTCCGAGACCAAAAAAATTCGACCCAAATTGGATTTTGGTAGCACAGGTACCTACCTGTTGAAATTTGCCAATTTTGCCTTTTTTGAAAATCCAAATTTTGCAGCTTCACCACGGCCAAACCAGTTGAGATAGGATGCTGAAAGTTTCACAGTTACTAGTTTGAAATCTTAGCTTTGCAATGCCACAAACCGCGATTCCATATCTGCCTTACTTTGGAAGCACTGAGCGTTTTAGTTTTGTCCATGAAAAACCGGATTTTTTGGCACTTTTCCGCAAAATAAAAAAGTGCTCAGAATTCACTTTTATGCACATTGGGAGAGTGCTAGAGAAGCACCGAGTCCAAAATACTGGGTTACATGGATTTCCGAGACCAAAAAAATTCGACCCAAATTGGATTTTGGTACCACAGGTAGCTACCTGTTGAAATTTGCCAATTTTGCCTTTTTTGAAAATCCAAATTTTGCAGCTTCACCACGGCCAAACCAGTTGAGATAGGATGCTGAAATTTTGACAGGTACTAGTTTGAAATCTTAGCTTTGCAATGCCACAAACCGCGATACCATATCTGCCTTACTTTGGAAGCACTGAGCGTTTTAGTTTTGTCCATGAAAAACCGGATTTTTTGGCACTTTTCCGCAAAATAAAAAAGTGCTCAGAATTCACTTTTATGCACATTGGGAGAGAGCTAGAGAAGCACCGAGTCCAAAAAACCGGGTTACATGGAAT